AAGTTGATATGCGATGGCTCGTGGCGTCGACTGTGATGTCGATCATGAGGGCCCCCGGAGTAGGGAAGCGAACGGCGACAGGAACAGATCACACCTGAGAGAGCCCCAAGCAGCGGATGATTTGAAAGTTGATATGCGATGGCTCGTGGGGTCGACTGCGAAGGCGATCATGGGGCCCCCCGGAGTAGGGAAGCGAACGGCGACAGAAACAGATCACACCGGAGAGAGCCCCAAGCAGCGGATGATTTGAAAGTTGATATGCGGTGGCTCGTGGGGTCGACTGCGAAGTCGATCATGAGGGCCCCCGGAGTAGGGAAGCGAACGGTGACAGAAACAGATCACACCTGAGAGAGCCCCCAAGCAGCGGATGATTTGAAAGTTGATATGCGCTGGCTCTTGGGGTCGACTGTGAAGTCGATCATGAGGGCCCCCGGAGTAGGGAAGCGAACGGCGACAGAAACAGATCACACCTGAGAGAGCCCCAAGCAGCGGATGATTTGAAAGTTGATATGCGATGGCTCGATGGGTCGATTGTGAAGTCGATCACGAGGGCCCCCGGAGTAGGGAAGCGAACGGTGACAGAAACAGATCACACCTGAGAGAGCCCCAAGCAGCGGATGATTTGAAAGTTGATATGCGCTGGCTCTCGGGGTCGACTGCGAAGTCGATCACGAGGGCCCCCGGAGTAGGGAAGCGAACGGTGACAGAAACAGATCACACTTGAGAGAGCCCCAAGCAGCGGATGATTTGAAAGTTGTTATGCGCTGGCTCGTGGGGTCGACTGTGAAGTCGATCGTGAGGGCCCCCGGAGTAGGGAAGCGAACGGTGACAGAAACAGATCACACCTGAGAGTGCCCCATGCAGCGGATGATTTGAAAGTTGATATGCGATGGCTCGTGGGGTCGACTGTGAAGTCGATCATGAGGGCCCCCGGAGTAGGGAAGCGAACGGCGACAGAAACAGATCACACCTGAGAGAGCCCCAAGCAGCGGATGATGTGAAAGTTGATATGCGATGGCTCGTGGGGTCGACTGTGAAGTCGATCATGAGGGCCCCCGGAGTAGGGAAGCGAACGGCGACAGAAACAGATCACACCTGAGAGAGCCCCAAGCAGCTGCGAGAGAAGATCCCCAAGCGCAGACAGGCCCCAAGCAGCAGATGATTTGAAAGTTGATATGCGATGGCTCGTGGGGTCGACTGTGAAGTCGATCATGAGGGCCCCCGGAGTAGGGAAGCGAACGGCGACAGAAACATATCGCACCTGAGAGAGCCCCAAGCAGCGGATGATTTGAAAGTTGATATGCGATGGCTCGTGGGGTCGACTGTGAAGTCGATCATGAGGGCCCCCGGAGTAGGGATGCGAACGGCGACAGAAACAGATCACACCTGAGAGAGCCCCAAGCAGCGGATGATTCCTAGGCTTACGCCACACCGCCGACCCCTTGTTTATGCCAATCTGGGGGTAGTAGAAGCTGCGAAAGGGGTGAAAAGGCGAGTGATATTTGATTGGTGTCTGTTCGCCGCCACCGCCAGAGGGTCTCGGGCAGTTCCGCGGGGGGGTCCGAGCGGACGGCGACACCGCGAGTTTTGGAGCCACTTGGGGGCCGTTTCGGAGCCTCTGGGGTGCTTCTTGGGGGTTCCTTGGGGCGTCTGGGCGGCCTCGTGAGGGCCTCTGGGGGCATCTTGGGGCACTCTTGGGGCCCCCTGGGGCTCCTGGGGGCAGAACGCTAGAGTTTCAACATGTTTGGTCGCCCTCTTGGGCCCCTCTTGGTGCCGTATTGGAGCCCTCTTGGGCCGTCTTGGGGACCTCTTGGGCCGTGTTGGGGCCGTCTTGGGCCGTCTGGAGGCCGTCTTGGGGGCCTCTTGGGCCATCTTGGGGCTGTCTTTGGGGCCTCTTTGGCCGTCTTGGAGCGTCGGGAAGCCGAAAAGGCGGAAAAGCAAAAAACATCGAAACACATTATGGAAAATCAACAAGTTTAGACTCTCGGGGCCCTCTTGGGAGGCTTGTTTGGGACCTCGGGGGCCGTCTTGGAGACCTCTTGGCCCGTCTTGGGGCCATCTTGGGCGTCTTGGAGCGGTCGTTTGGCGTCTCGGGGCCTTCGTGGGCCGTCTTGGAGGCCTCTTGGGGGCTTCTTGGCCCGTCTTGAGGCCCTCTTGGGCCCGGAAAAGCCCCGTGAACCGCGCGTCCCGGCCGTGCTGCGCTCGTCCCGGCCGCGCTGCGCTCGCCCTGGACCCCCCCCCCCTCCAAATCGACCGGACCGGGCTCCCGGGGGAAAGGGTTTGGGGAGGGGGAAGCATCTCGCGCGCCGAAGATCCCCAAGAAGTCGGCGGATTTGACAGTTGATATGCGCTGGCTCTTGGAGTCGACTGCGAAGTCGATCATGAGGGCCCCCGGAGTAGGGAAGCGAACGGTGACAGGAACATACCACACCTGAAAGAGCCCCAAGCAGCGGATGATTTGAAAGTTGATATGCGCTGGCTCGTGGGGTCGACTGTGAAGTCGATCGTGAGGGCCCCCGGAGTAGGGGAGCGAACGGTGACAGAAACAGATCGCACCTGAGAGAGCCCCAAGCAGCGGATGATTTGAAAGTTGATATGCGATGGCTCGCGGGGTCGACTGCGAAGTCGATCACGAGGGCCCCCGGAGTAGGGAAGCGAACGGTGACAGAAACAGATCACACCTGAGAGAGCCCCAAGCAGCAGATGATTTGAAAGTTGATATGCGATGGCTCGTGGGGTCGACTTCGAAGTCGATCATGAGGGCCCCCGGAGCAGGGGAGCGAACGGCGACAGAAACAGATCACACCTGAGAGAGCCCCAAGCAGCGGATGATTTGAAAGTTGATATGCGCTGGCTCGCGGGGTCGACTGTGAAGTCGATCACGAGGGCCCCGGGAGTAGGGAAGCGAACGGTGACAGAAACAGATCACACCTGAGAGAGACCCAAGCAGCGGATGATTTGAAAGTTGATATGCGCTGGCTCTTGGGGTCGATTGTGAAGTCGATCATGAGGGCCCCCGGAGTAGGGAAGCGAACGGTGACAGAAACAGATCACACTTGAGAGAGCCCCAAGCAGCGGATGATTTGAAAGTTGATATGCGCTGGCTCTTGGGGTCGACTGTGAAGTCGATCACGAGGGCCCCCGGAGTAGGGAAGCGAACGGTGACAGAAACAGATCACACCTGAGAGAGCCCCAAGCAGCGGATGATTTGAAAGTTGATATGCGATGGCTCGCGGGGTCGACTGCGCAGTCGATCGCGAGGCCCCCCGGAGTAGGGAAGCGAACGGTGACAGAAACAAATCAAACCTGAGAGAGCCCCAAGCAGCGGATGATGTGAAAGTTGATATGCGATGGCTCTTGGGGTCGACTGTGAAGGCGATCACGAGGGCCCCCGGAGTAGGGAAGCGAACGGTGACAGAAACAGATCACACCTGAGAAAGCCCCAAGCAGCGGATGATCTGAAAGTTGATATGCGATGGCTCTTGGGGTCGACTGTGATGTCGATCATGAGGGCCCCCGGAGTAGGGAAGCGAACGGCGACAGAAACAGGTCACACCTGAGAGAGCCCCAAGCAGCGGATGATGTGAAAGTTGATATGCGATGGCTCTTGGGGTCGACTGTGAAGTCGATCATGAGGGCCCCGGGAGTAGGGAAGCGAACGGTGACAGAAACAGATCAAACCTGAGAGAGCCCCAAGCAGCGGATGATTTGAAAGTTGATATGCGATGGCTCTTGGGGTCGACTGTGAAGTCGATCATGAGGGCCCCCGGAGTAGGGAAGCGAACGGTGACAGAAACAGATCACACCTGAGAGAGACCCAAGCAGCGGATGATTTGAAAGTTGATATGCGATGGCTCTTGGGGTCGACTGTGAAGTCGATCATGAGGGCCCCCGGAGAAGGGAAGCGAACGGTGACAGAAACAGATCACACCTGAGAGAGCCCCAATCAGCGGATGATGTGGAAGTTGAGATGCGACGGCTCTTGGGGTCGACTGTGAGGTCGATCATGAGGGCCCCCGGAGTAGGGAAGCGAACGGTGACAGAAACAGATCACACCTGAGAAAGCCCCAAGCAGCGGATGATTTGAAAGTTGATATGCGATGGCTCTTGAGGTCGACTGTGAAGTCGATCATGAGGGCCCCCGGAGTAGGGAAGCGAACGGTGACAGAAGCAGATCACACCTGAGAGAGCCCCAATCAGCGGATGATGTGAAAGTTGAGATGCGACGGCTCTTGGGGTCGACTGTGAGGTCGATCATGACATCGGTCTATTGGAACCGATCGTGAGGGCGGTGGTGAGGTCCATCGTGAGGCCGAGAGCGACATCGGTGCACTGAGATCGATAGTGAGATCGGTCGCGAGATCGCTCATGCGATTGATGGTGAGATCGCTTGTGAGATCGATAGTGAGATCGATTTTGAGATCGATGGTGAGAGCGATAGAGAAGTGGGTAATGAGATCGATGGTGAGACCGATCGACTTATCGATTAGAAGATCGACCAGGAACCCGGGAACTCGAGAACCTCGCCGCCTCCGAAATCGGCCAGGAAACCCGGAAACGGGAACCTGGGAACCCAGCGTGCAACCAAAATCGGCGGGAAATTGTCGCCTCATCCTTCAACCTCCGCGAGGACCCCTTCAGTGCAAGCACTGATTGGGGAAAAAAACTCGGAGGTCCGCGCGGGTTTCTCGGATCCGCGCTGGACGCCCCTGGCGGCGCCTCCGGCGCCGCCCTTGGCGCGCTCCGCGCGCCAGGGAAGGGGGTCCAGCGCGGATCCGAGAAGTCCGCGCGGACCTCCGAGCTGTTCTGTTTGTGTCAGTGGTGGTGTTTCCCCATACCGAGGCCGCAGGGCGGGCCCCCGAAGGCCCAGGCAAGGAGAGGGGAGGGGAGGGGGGAGGAGGAACAGCGAGGAGGAGGAGGTGGGGGAGGAGGAGGACGAGGAAGAGGAAGAGGAGGAACAGAAGGGGGAGGAGGTGGAAGAGGAGGATAGAAAGAGCCAGGCCAGTTCTACTTCCACAACGTCGAGACGGGAGAGCGCTCCGACGTGGACCCAGACCCAGAGGGCGAGCTGCTGTGCCGCGCCGAGGAGAGCTGTTTCCCATTTCTGTTGTGATGGAGGTACTTGTTCTGACCAGAGCGCTGCGTGCGCAACCGTCTCCTTCTCCCGCATCTTCTTCCTCCTCCTCCTCCTCCTCCGCCTCCGCCTCCGCCTCCCGCATTCTCCTCGTGCCTCCCTGCCCCATACTTCCTGTCCTCTAGCGCCCGCTCTAGGGGCTGCACCTGCGCAACCGTCGCCACTTCCACAGGCTCCAGGAAGGTCAGAGCCACGCCCCACGAGCATCCCGATGAGAGCTCGCCCGCCTCTCGTGGGGCTGCCAGCCAGCGCAGCTGTCGCCACTTTCGCGGGATCTTGGGAGGTCCTCCCACGCGCATCCACATGAGAGCATGCTGTCTTGGGACTGCCACTTGCGCACCCGTCGCCACTTTTGCGGGGTCCTGTGAAGTCCAACGGAGCGACGCCCCACGCGCATCCAAATGAGAGTTCGCCTCTCTTGGAACTGCCAACCTGCGCAATTGTTGCCACTTTGTGGGCTCCTGGAAGGTCCAGCCGAGCGACCCCCACGCGCATACACACTGAGATCTCGCTTCTCTTGGGGCTGCCAACCTGCGTAGTTGTAGCCGCGCGGAGCCACGCCCCATGCGCATCCAAACGGGAGCTCGCCCGCGCGGGCTCTTGGGAGGTCCTGCGCGGAGAGGCGCCCCGCGCGCATCCGATGGAGAGCTGGCCCGCCCCTCTTGGGGCTGCCGGCCTGCACAATCGTCGCCCCTGTCGCTGGCTCCTGCGGCGCTCCAGAGGAACGGCGCCCCAAGGCGCAGTCAAGCCAGAACTCGCCTCGCTGGGCGCGAGCTCCTGGGAGGTCCAGCGGGGCGACGGCCCACGCTCATCCACGCGAGAACCCGCGCCGCTCCTGGGGCTGCCAACCCTGCGCAACCGACGCCATGGTCGCGGGCTCCTGTGAGGTCCAGCGGGGCGACGCCCCACGCGCATCTCAATGAGAGCGCGCCCGCCTCTTTTGGGGCTGCCAGCCAGCGCAACTGCCGCCACTTTCGCGGGCTCCTGGGATGTCCAGCGGAGCGACGCCCCACGCGCATCCAAGTGAGAATTCGCCCACCTCATGACTGACATCTTGCGCAACTGTTCCCAAGATCGCGGGCTCCTGGGAGGTCCAGCGGAGCAACGCCCCACGCGCATCTCAATGAGAGCTCGCCCACCTTTCTTGGGGCTGCCAACCTGCGCTACTGTCGCGATTGTCGTGGGCTCATGGGAGGTCCAAGGTAGATGCGCCCAACGCGTATTCAAACGCGACGTCGCCCGCCTCCCTTGGGGCTGCCAACCTGCGTTACTGTAGCCACGTTCGCGGGCTCCATGAAGGTCCAGAAGAGCGACGCCCCACGTGCATCCGAATCAGAGCTCGCCTCCCTTGGGGTTGCCACATGCGCAACTGGCGCCACTTTCGCGATCTCCTGCGAGGTCCAGCGGAGCGACGCCAAACGCGCATCCAAACGGGAGCTCGCCCGCTTCGCTTGGGTTTGTCAACTTGCGCAACTGTCGCCACACTTGCGAGCTCCTGGGGAGTCCAGAAGAGCGACGCCCCGCTTGTATCCAAATGGGAGCTCAGCTCTCGTTGGGCTGTCAACCTGCGCACCTGGCGCCACTTTCACGATCTCCTGCGAAAGCCAGCGGAGCCCAGAGCGACGCCCCACGCGCATCCAGATGAGAGCTCGCCTTTCTCGGGGCCGCCAACCTGCGCAACCGTCACCACTTCCGCGGGCTCCTGCGGGGTCCAGCGGAGCGACGCCCCACCAGCAGTCAAACGAAAACTGGCCTCTCTTGGGGCTGCCAGCCTGCACAATTGTCGCCACGTTCGCGGGCTCCTGCGGGGTCAAGCGGGGCGAATCCCCACGCGCAGTCGAATGAGAGCTCGCCTCTCTCATTAGTTTATGGCTGTTTACCTGCGCACCTGTCGCCACGTTCGCGGGCTTTTGGGAGGTCCAGCAGAGCGACGCCCCACGCGCATCTCAATGAGAGCTCGCCCACCTTGGGGCTGCCAACCTGCACAACTGCCACCCCTCTTTTGCATATCCTCCTCTCGGTGTGGCCACCTTTTTTCTCCCGTCCCGCTCTTTCCTCCTCTTCCATTTCCTCCTCCTTCTCGTCCTCCTCCGCCTCCTCCTCCTCCTCCTCCGCCTCCTCCTCCTCCTCCTCGCGCCTCCTCCCCTCTGCAATGCAGGCGTGCCCCGTGTTGGGTTGGCTGCCCGCTGAGCCCTCGTGCACGTTCGGGGCCCGCCCCCGCCCCCACCCTCCCCCTCAAGAGGTCGAGCGAGGTCCTCGCAGCAGTGGCGGCAGCTCGGTCGGGATCTGGGACAGCGCGTCGCTCCGCCGCGCCTCCGCGCGACACGCGATCCATTCCACATTCCCGGGCCTTTCCTCCTCCTCCTCCTCCTCCTCCTCATCCTCCTCATCCTTCTCCTCCTCCAGCTCCTCCTCCTCCGTATGTCTCCTCCAGCTCCTCCTCCTCCTCAGCCAGGGAGAAGTGGTTCAGCAACGCGGACAGGGACGTCCTATTTCACCCAGACTATAAGCATCACATCCTGCTTGGCTTCAGGGTGTGTCCTTCTCCGCCCTTCGTCGCCCCGGCTGGACTCGGCATCGACAGTTTTGAGTCTTGGACTCTTTCAGGAGAGGCCTACCAGATCGTCATGACAGGTGAGGTTTTCATTGATGGCAGCTGCTTCAAAGACGGAGCTAAACAGCATCATCGAGCAGGATGGGGAATCTCAAAACTGTCGCCTGAAGGAGTTCTCTTGGGCATGTTGTTCGGAAGAGTGGGGGACAATCTCCCGCAAACCTCCCCGGCAGGGGAACACGTTGCGGCGCTCGCAGCGGTGTCATTGCTTCCAGGTGCCAGAATTGTTTTCTCGGATTATCCGTAAGGGCTTCGCCCCCTGCCGCCGGCCCCCTCCCTCGGAGAATGGGCCATGGAAGAGCTAAGTCATGAGGTCTGGGCGCTGTCGTGAAGCAGTATCGAAACTTCATGCGAAGACGATTCGCAATCAGCAAAACCAACTGATCACAAGAGGGGTTACCACACCTGGCGATTGGTAAGACGTGTATGGTTTACGGGCTTGGTTGCCACACCTTGCGATTAAAGGGCCGAGGGAGTTCTCGCAGTTTGGGTTACCACGCCTTGCGATGGATGTGCGTGAAGGGTGGCACCGAATTTCAGAAATGTGGCAAATCCCTGTGTTTTTGGACCCTGACCCCGCGGATCTGCGTGAGGGGTGGCGCCGAATTTCAGAAATGTGGCAAATCCCTGTGTTTTTGGACCCTGACCCCGCGGATCTGCGTGAGGGGTGGCACCGAATTTCAGAAATGTGGCAAATCCCATGTGTTTTTGGACCCTGACCCCGCGGATCTGCGTGAGGGGTGGCACCGAATTTCAGAAATGTGGCAAATCCCTGTGTTTTTGGACCCTGACCCCGCGGATCTGCGTGAGGGGTGTCGATTTCGAGCCCCCCCAGCAATTCAGACAACGCGCCCAGGAGACGCTAAAAATCCCGTTTGGGCCTCCCCCCCCCTCGCGCGGTCAATCAACTAGTTACAGTAACCAGCAAGAAGTCAACTAGTTACAGTAACCAGCAAGAAGCAGAACTGTAACACTGGAAACTACAAACTACAACTGGTACAGGAAACTGCGAATCACGCGCCTCGCAGCCTGGTGGCCCCACAAGGGGGCCGGCGGATTCTGGAGTTGCTGGAATGCCGGCTAAGCCTCGCCAGATAAACCTCCATTGGAAGAATTATTATTCAGGCGTCAAGCTCATCACACTCGGGCGGGCCCCACCAGGTTTCGAGATCCCGAAGGTGAAGGCCCATGTAAACCCTGATGACTGTGAGCCTTCCTCGTCCGACTGGTATAAAGCCAGGGGGAATGAAGAAGCAGACACAGCAGCGAAACTAGGTGCGAAATTGCACAGTGAGCCCAGCAAAAACGAGGTAGACCTGTGGGAATATCAAGGCGAAGTCCTGAAGAAGTTTCTTATGTTTATCCCTGAAGCATTGTCTCTCTTCCCCAAACCTCCCAAAGGGAAGTTGGAGCGAGTTCGCCCTGCTAAGGTTCAGGGGAGTGCAGGTTTCGTCATAGATGCACTGGGTCCTCATGCTCCTGAGCATCTTCTACAGCGATTCAGGACGCAGGGGCCAGCTGCCAGCGCCGCAGGTCATGACCCTCCTCCCCCCCCTCCTCCGGCTGTGCTTCAAGAGGCCGTTGGAGACGGGCCGAACCACCATTTTTGGAGGTGGCGTCCACAAGGTTTCTGGACTTGCTTGCACTGTCAGCGCCGCAGTACCCGTTCCAGGCAAGACCCTGCAGAGAGGAGGCTTGAGGGCCGTTAGCTCCGCCATCCTCCACCTCCTGACTTCGGGTGCCAGGGCGCTTCACCAATTCTTCGCAGCCTGTTTCATAACCAGCGTGGTCACACTCTATACCTTTCAGAGCACCCTACGGGTATCCTTATAATCTGTCGTGCTTGTGGTAGCTACTCTGAGGGAGCCAGAATGCAAGGCTTAGATGGCCAATGCACTCCCCATAGGGAAACCAACAGGGCGAAGGCCAATTGGAGTCG